CTTGAAGCAACTTACCTTTCAAAACATTAACAGAACCAATTCACTATTGTGAGGACAAAAAACAAAATAATGAAAATAAAATTAAATTAGTATATACCTGAGGCTGATACTCCACTCTCTTGAAAAGTTTTGGAATGCAGATGCACCTCATGACCGTGGAAAAACCTCAAGATAGTTGAATTCCCCTGATACAACAATTCATGGATATGCTTATTGTTCTCACCTCCGGAGATGATATCAGGCATTCTTTAACCAGCTCAAATGAATTTGCTGCAGATATTCTTCTCTAATTCTAATTTACTTTGAGCAGATTGAAAGAAAATCAAAAGAATGGTTAAGACTTCAACCTACTGTACAGTACTCTATAGGACCACAGAAGTTCTCATTATTATAAAGAAAAAAGAACGGTTTAGTTTTCAACTAGACTTTGCATCCCATACTGCAGAAATATATTAAAACTGTGCTAACTAATATAATATAAGTCCTAACCTTTTCCCTTTCAGACTTGCCTTTTTGTTTTCCTAATTTCATGCTAGGTCCAAAAGCATCTATCTTTGGCGACAATAGTTTTGATTCCAAGCCAACAGTACCTGATTGAAATGCTAACAATGAAAAAGAGGGAAAAGAAGAGAACGGGAAGAAAAAGCCATGGCCAAAAAATGGCATTAGAATTACCTGTGTATGAAGACAAAGTTTCATCTATGAGTCCTCCCTCAAAAGTTTGGTTCGTGTTATTAGAAACTTCTGCGGGTGTCCTACAGTGTCAATCACACAATCACAGATAAGCAAGTAATTTACAATAAATGATGCCATGTTACAATAACATAACATGTTGTTCACTCATCTATATCAAAGTGTAACCATTGAACTAGTGAAAGATGATCAACAAACTTTCACATTCTGAATACGAGAGAATTAATTTCTGTTTTCACCTTCAATGTCATTATGCATAAACAGTTAATATATGAAATCGAACCTTGCCTCACAAACTTCCATTTCATGACCATTTGGATACAAACTAGGCATGCCATGCTTATCCCTCACTTCATCCTCAAAAAAATCTATATGTGGGTCAGCCGAACATAATCCAGAACAGCTCTCTTTACCTAATAATAGTCACATGGTCATATGATTTTTTTAAAGAATAATAAATCAAAGTATCATTAACAACACACCAAGACATAAAACAAGTATTGACAAAAATCAATACTGTGATAGCAATAAATCAATACTGTAAAAATAAACCAAACCTGAGGCTGATAAAGATGCAGCATCTTGGGCACGTATGTCATCTAATTCATTTCTAGAGGTGGACATATTATGATTTTGGCTATGGAAGTACTTTGTAATAGAGCATGTCCCCTGCCAAAGCATTTCAGAGAATAGTGGGATAAATTTACGGCATTGAGAAAGCAAAGCTTGCTAATGAATAATGAAGTAGCCAGCAGTTATAAGGATCAAATCACTTCTGAAAGTGGCACTAACGAGATAAAATAGTAAATAACACCTTTTGTCATTCACAACTCAGAGGCTGGCAATATATTAGCAACTTAAGAAGGCAGTTAGACAGA